AGTCTCTGTTTTAGTATATGTTCCAAGACTTTGCACAGCACCGGGAGTAATGTGATAGGTCTGTAGTTTTCCATTTGTGTACCGTCTCCATACCGTCCTTTTTTAGGTATAGGAATTATTACACCACTTTTCCACGTTTTCGGAATATTATTATTTGTGATGCAGTTGTTGATTTCAGTAAGGATGAGTTTGTGGGTTACTTGGGTTAAGCTTTTCAGGAGTTTTGCCTTTATTTTGTCTTTTCCCGGTGCTGTGTTTTTGATATGTGATAGGGCTTCATCGTACTCTGTGTCTGTGATTAGTTTGTAAGTATAGTTTGGTGGGTTGTTAAAGTAGTTCAAGTACCAGTCATTGATCATGTTCCAGTTGTCACTGTCGAAGTTAGGGTTTGTCGATATGCTGAACGCCTTTTGATAGTGTCCGGCGAATGCGTCAGGTTTCTTTTTGTCTGTGTAACGTTCTATTCCGTTTTCGTCAATTGTGTCAGTAGTGTTAGTTTTCTTGTATTGTGCTAATTTCTTGATTTTTTGCCCTTGTCTTTTTCTATTTCCTTACATGTTTCTAACCATTTGTCTTGTCGGTATTGTCCAATCAGAGTTTTAATGTTCCTGTTCACTTGGTTCAGTGTCTTTTTTAGGTCGTTATTTTGGGTGTAAGTGTATAGTCTGTAAAGTTCTCTCTTATCTTTTATGAGTCTCAGTATGAATTTGGGTAGGGTGTGTTGGTAGAAAACATTTTTAATTTAGCGAACATTTTATTATATTTATGCAATTATAAGGTATAAAAACTTGGGATTTACATACTTTTTTGTCATTATTCTGAAACTAGGTAAACTAGGAGATCTCTAAAAAGTCAAAATTTGTGAACTTACACTTTTTTTGACGATAAATAGTATGAGTGTTTACAATGAATCACTGTTTAAGTACTTATGTACACATGTTCCACATCGACAATTTAATCAGTGTTTGTGATTTATCATGGTCTATTTATCGAATACGGTATTTTGATAAAAACACTATGGTTGCGAGAAAAATAAGATTCATTCATCAAAGAAAACATTCAAGCTGTTAATCTTGAACTTACTTCTTAAATAAACCATCTAAATTTATTTGTATGTTATTCGCAATAGATAACAAGGTAATAGTGATTGTAAATAATTGCTCGAAATATATTCCGATTAATTTAAAATCATATTGGATTTATCTATTTGGGAAAGTATTTTGTAGATGCATTTTGCCGTTATTTCATTACATGTTTACAAAATTTCAAAAATGTAGAATATTTAAGAAAAATTGTTAGGCTATTTTGACCATTGCTTGAAACTGTTTAGTTCGCCTGGAAGAAATTATTTTCCGCGAAGTCCAAGAATTTTATAAGTTTTATATATTGCTTGAAAAAAATATATGAAAAAAAACGGAAAAAGCTTCATTAATGAATTCCTCCCAGATTCTCCAGAAGTCTCCCTGGAATAGTTTTGCGCCAATAGTCACCATTAGAAGTGTAGGATTTCATGCTTCCGGATTTCCTATTATCGCTGAATCATCCTGTATACATTTACTTGCAATTTCAGCTCTTCATGTCCGATTAGTAAATTTTACCGACCAAAAGTCGACATTCAAATGCTCGATTTGTACAATACGTTAACATTTGATAACCCCGACGGCGGAGTTTGGAAACAAGGTTGGAGAATTCAGATTGACGAAAAAGAATGGAATAGACAAAACAAGTTGAAAGTGTTTGTTGTTCCACATTCACACAATGATGCGGGATGGACTCGCACCCTGCTCGAGTACTATTCGACTCAAACCAAACATATTTTGAATAATATGCTGCAAAAACTGCCCGAAGATCCTCGTAGAAAGTTTATTTGGGCCGAAATTTCATTTTTTTCTATGTGGTGGGCTGAATTGGATAATGGTAATAAGGAAGCAGTCAAACGGTAAGAAGCAAGAGGTTTTTCATATAAATTAAGCGTAATTACAATTTATATCTTTTTATATTCTATATTATGTCTATCGGGAAAACATTTCAGTTTATTTTCTACAGATAGTCGATAAGTTTTTCCTTATATTTTAATAAATCTAATTAATAATCCTATAAGTTAAAAAATCCGTTATTGATATGCTGTAATATAAAGTTTAGGAGTAAATGAAACGAAAAATTGTTCAGAGCGTGAAAAGTCGAGAACACAATCACAATCGGCGCAAATCGCGATTAAAAATTATAATTTGGGAAGGAGATTTGCAGCTTTCGAAATGTTAAAAAAACGGCTTCAAAAATATTTAAAATTTTATAACAGACTTCAAAAAATGTGTTTCTCCATCAGAGAGTCTATTCATCTGTAAAATGAATTTTTTAATGTGTTTTGTGCTACTTTGCGCTAGGAACAAATCCCGCAAAATTGCTTTCGGTCAAAATAGGATTTAAAAAAACATTAAGAATTGAAATAGGGTGTTAATTATTTCGAAAATTGCCTGGAATTTTTGGACGAAGTGATTTATCTCTTTTAGCATTCTTTTTCTCTTTTAGCACTCGATCCTAAAAGTGATTTTGTGTCAAAGAAGAGTAGATTCGAATAGAAAACTTTATAATAAAGGGAATTTTACTTTTGTCCAAGTTCACTGTTTTCCAGTTTTTTAATTCCAAGAAAATGTACGGTAATAAACCCTAGATGAATTTGTAGATTGATAAAAAACAATCAGTTGGAAATTGTGACGGGGGGTTGGGTAATGAATGATGAAGCAAGTTCTCATTACATCTCGATAATTCATCAACTGACCGAGGGCCACCAATGGCTAAAAAAACATCTAAACTACACCCCCATTAGCCATTGGTCTATAGACCCTTTCGGTCTGAGTTCCACTCAACCAGCTCTATTGAAAAGTAGCGGACTTCAGAATATGCTCATTCAAAGAGTGCATTATTCAGTGAAGAAACACCTTGCAAAAACCAGAAATCTCGAATTCAGGTGGAGACAATTGTGGGGTAAGTTATATCTAGAAAACCATTGGGGCAAGTATTCGCAAAAATTGTAACTCGAAAAGTACCAGACTTTAACGTTTTCTTTGATGGATCTGTTATTAAGAGGTCTAAGGTCTATTAATGCTAAACAGGATGTTCTATCGAATGGAATGGAGTATTGAGAAAAATATTAATCATATACAGGACGTTCGTGTCTAACTTGGGAAATACCCTTTGGTATATTTTTTGGTCCATTGATGCAACATGATAAGATTACAGTGCGACCTCGCTAAATCGGACTTTCAGTAGACCGGATTCCTTGATAATCCAGAAAATAATTCCAATTGTACCATTCATGTTTAAAGGAAAACTGATCCCGATGATTCACTTAACTAACTAAATGTCATGCCTGGTTTGTTCTTATAGGTTTATGAGCAAAATTAATCCTGGCCCCTTGCCAAAAAATTCCAAAAAAACACTACGTAAATCCGAATGTTCTGAAGTGAAAACTCGTTTCTACTCGTGGTTTTCGAGTACAAGATACATACCGAGTTTTATGAAAATTTCAGTTTTAGAGCGGATTTGCAGTTCAAAAATAATGCATTGTTCTATTTTAAGTGCATTTGCAGAGAAGATAAAAAAATTGGATTTCTCACCTGCCCAAATATACAATGCGGATGAATGTGCTTGGCATTGGAAAATATTCCTCGTAAAAACTCTTAGAAAAAGACTGAACCAGCTAAAAAAAAAGTAAAAAACGCGTTACATTCCTATCATGTAGCGATGTGGCTCACACTGATTAAAATTGCGAATGATTAATGACAAGTAAAAAAATTCCAGTTTGTTTAAAATTAATTGTCCGTTTGTTGAATATAAACCTTTGCAATTTTTGTTCGAAGCTCTTTTATTGGCAAAGTTAAATGCAGTTTAAGAAGTTTTAATTTATCTGAAACGGGCCCCATCGTCGTTAGTGCGACCAGTCATGAAACTAAAAGAATTGACTAGTAAGGATGGACAGTTTACAACATTATTTCTGCCACTTTTTTGCACATTACTTTGCAACTTATGGATCAAAATGTGATTGGATTGAATAAATTATTTTACCGAAGAAGTCCATATTTTAGTTACGTTTTTGAAATCAATCCATTAGCTTGAAGAATTCTAAACCTATGCCTATTATGTAATCCTTGCGAGAAAAACACTGATTAAGAGTCTCAGCCTTTTGAGACATTTGCTACGAAATTAAATATTATTAATGTTCTCACATGTGGAAATCTGGAACTGGATTGAAAACAATAAAGATTTGTTACTACTGAAGAAATAAAACCCTCCGTATTACTTCAGTAATCCAAAAGAAGGCAGTTTTAATAAGTTTCAAAATAAAGTTGGGAAAATCGCCCAAAATCAATTTTTTTCAAATGGAAACCCCCATTTTTGATAATTTTATCTTACTTGACTAACTTGATTAATATTTGAATTTAGAGTCTCCCAAATATCCTCAAATTGACTTTGTGCATGCGTGAATGCCACCAAAAATTAGCGAATTTATGGAATAAATTTGGAATTGGGCGAAAAAAAAATAATTCACGAAATTTTCGTTCATCCGATGTCAGACGAGACGACCCGAACGAAGAATGGGAAACGCCCCGATGCGCAACTTTCGTCGGATTGCGTGGATTCTGACTCCGGCCAATAGGAAGTGGGGTTCCCCGAGGAATTTGACCCCACGTGACCATCGGAGTCTCGAAATGTGTAGTAAAGTAGCGTAAATATTACTGGAATGGAATACCGAAGCTTTTTGTTTTAGCTAAATGGTGGTAGTTTTCGCATGTTGAATGAATTCAAGTGGGGTGTTTGGGTATTTTGAATATTCTCTGACCCAAAATAGACTATTTGAAAATTATTTTGAATTATTGATATAAATTTATCACATTCTCTATAAATAATAAATAAATACGTTTAAATAATCTTCGTTTGTATAATTTAAGCGTCTGGTCATGATTATTAATTATTTTCAAAATGTAATTGACAGATGCAAGTATTCCTTTGCATTTGATTGTATTAAAAATTGGCATTATTGTCATGGCAACATAGAGTGACAGTATTTAAAATAAGATGCGACAAAAGAGTCATATGAAAACATTAAATTGGCAATATTTCGAAAACTAAACACTTTTGGACTAGACAACTTTGCACAAACGTACCTTTTATTTTTAATACTGAATAAGATAAAATTATCAAAAATAGAGGTTTTTATTTAAAAAAATAGATTTTGGGCGGTTTTCTCAACGTCAAATCATTGAAACTTATTTTTTTAACACTGTATTAATAGTTATCAAAATTTTGTCGAAATTCAATTAAAGTAAGTTCTTTTCAACAAGAAA